TACAGTGTTGAGTTTTATTAACACTGTACAGTGTTGAGTTTTATTAACACTGTACAGTGTTGAGTTTTATTAACACTGCACAATGTTGAGTTTTATTAACACTGTACAGTAATGAGTTTTATTAACACTGTACAATGTTGAGTTTTATTAACACTGTACAGTGTTAAGTTTTATTAACACTGTACAATGTTGAGTTTTATTAACACTGTACAGTGTTGAGTTTTATTAACACTGTACAGTGTTGAGTTTCATTAACACTGTACAGTGTTGAGTTTTACTAACACTGTACAGTGTTGAGTTTTATTAACACTGTACAGTGTTGAGTTTTATGAACACTGTACAGTGTTGGGTTTTATGAACACTGTACAGTGTTGGGTTTTACTAACACTGTACAGTGTTGAGTTTTATTAACACTGNACACTGTACAGTGTTGAGTTTTACTAACACTGTACAGTGTTGAGTTTTATTAACACTGTACAGTGTTGAGTTTTATTAACACTGTACAGTGTTAGTCAGTGTTAATTTTTAGCTCTGTTTACAGTTAAATTGTACTCTGACCAATTCAGATTAGGACCAAATAGACTCTGACACAGTGTTAAATCTAGCGCTTTAAGTGTTGATTTAAGTGTAAAATTGACTGTGTGGAGGTCTCCAACATGGTGGCTCCAGATGCAGGTCTCTGAGCTGAAGTGGTCCAGAGTCTCTGCTGAAGGTCCTGCTGTGATGGGCAGGTCCATCAAACATCCATTATTAATGAAGAACCTGTTGAAAGTGGAGGAAACTGCAGGTTTCTGAGTTTAACGTGAGGAAACGTGAGGAGCTCAGCAGGAGATCTGCATCTTTTCTACACTTAGATTCACTTTAAAGCAGCCTGAAAACTACAACCTGAAACTACAACTCAAACTTTGTTTCTCTCCTTCAGGACTGCTTTTAAACTGAAAATATTCATTTAATAAACTCTGAAATAAAGAAGAAAGACTCCTTTTTTTTTCAAACATCTGAAAATGATTCATTGTTTTTTGATTTATTGCATCAGATAAGTTGTAACTAAAAGAAAAATAAACATAAAATGCATATTTTTCCTGTGAAATACTGCTTGCAGCTTTAGGAGCAGCTCCGTCCAGCAGCAGTTCAGGGAGGAGATCTGTGCTAAATCTAAACTCGTTCATGTTTTTCTGCCTGACTGTGAATACGAGTCCATTTCTGCATCATTTTGTTTTACAGTCTGAGTGTTTAATTAAAAAGCCCCTGAGCTCAGGAGGAGCTCTTTGTTCCAGATCCATGAATCATGAGAGGCATTGTAAAGCTGTCAGGAGCTGGACGTCACCTCCTCCACAATAAAACATATCTGCTGCTGTTTGTAAAGTTACAGTCAAAAATTAACACCAATATTTGTGTTTTATTTAACCTTTTATAAGAAAAAAAAAGAACAGATTTATTTTTCAAAGTCAGTTTTTCACCATATGATTCATACATTTATGAATGTCAGTTTATAAACTAAATATTTAACTTACTAATTAAATATTTAGTTAACAAGCTAAATATTTAATTTGTGTCTTCAATATTTAGCTTGCAAGTTAAATATTTAGCTAGCTACCTAAATATTTAACTTGCTAGCTAAATATTCAAGTTACATATTTAGGTGGCTAGCTAAATATTTAACTTGCTAGCTAAATATTGAAGACACGTTAAATATTTAGCTTGTTAGCTAAATATTTAATTTGTAAGTTAAATATTTAGTTTATAAACTGACATTCATAAATGTATGAATCATATGGTGAAAAACTGACTTTGAAAATAAATCTGTTCATTTTTTCTTATAAAAGGTTAAATAAAGCAAAAATATTGGTGGTAATTTTTGACTGTGTAACTTTACAAACTGCAGCCCATAAAAACACGTCCAGCTTTCATTTAAGCGTGACTCTGGTCCAGATCAGACCACCAAACTGAGCAGATCCCTGTCGGAGGACTCGGGTCTTCGTGGCTCTTTCATGTTCTGGATGTGGGGTGGTGGTGAAGCTGGGGGCAGCAGCAGAGGTCGAGCTCTCAAACCCTCACTCTGTCCTTAAAGCTGCCTGGACTCACAGCAGCAGGTTTTATCTGCAGCCTGCAGCAACAAGTCGGGCCTGAGGATCCATGCAGACTCCTGCCTTCAGCAGAGGATGAGGAAGATGAGAGAGGAGCAGCTGGAGACCTGGAGATCTGATCTTCACAAAGTAAAACATTTTTCTCTTCTTTGATCTGAAACTTCAAAAACAGCTTCAGGAATGTCTGAGAGGAGGTTGAGCTTCAGCTCAGACGTGCATTCATGGTAAAACTGCAAAATCCTGCAGGAGAACCAAACTTAAACAAGTCTTTCAGTAAATATTTACCAGCTGATGCTGCTTTCATTAGATTTATTTGTGATTTTAGTTCAGCAAATAAAAAGTCCTGTGTGACGAACGATTAGTCTGTTTCATTTCCCGTCTATTAAAAAACAACCTGAGCAACGCCTGGACACTCGCAGATTATCTGTAATTATACCCAGCTGACCTTCAGCTCCGCTCATTTCTCACAACATTTGACTGAAAACACCTCAGATTAAACTCAGCATTTACCTGACTGAAGAGTCACCTGACACGATCACAGTGAAATCTGTAATTAGGGCTTGTCTTAATAAATGAATGAGAGCAGAGGTCGTCTGCCTGAAAGACAACACCTGTTATTATCCACCTGAAAACAAAGATCTCTGTTTTATATCTTTTTATAGTCGTACATTAATGTGGCCTGAACGGCAACATGCACCCCTACAACTTACATCATAATGACCGACTCGACGGTGGGAGGTGTGCCATTACTTTTAGTGATGTTTCAAGTTACCATGGCAATGCAAATCACAAAAAAACACCATCAAAAAACCTCATAGGAATACGTCCTGATGCATCTCAGTAATCCAGGTAAAAAACCAAAAAGAAAAAATAGTATAGGTCCTCTGGACGGGTTCTTCTCTAATGAAACGTTTCGTCTCTCCTCCAAGAGACTTCTTCAGTCTGAGAGTTTCAGGCTAAATTCAGGCTTTTAAGCCCTGCCTCCATGTGACTGATACATCACATCACATGGCTATCGTTGACACCTAATTAACACCTATTGTTAACAGGGGGTGGAGTGATACTGGCAATAGCAGCACTGTAGGAGGGTGACAACTGAAAACGGAGGCCTCCACCTCTGTTTAAAGATGCTTAATATGATGTTTAATAATGATGTTGTATATGCTGTTAAGTGCCAGGAGGACTGCGACCAGTTATACATCGGGGAAACAAAGCAACCACTGTTCAAAAGAATGTCCCAACACAGACGAGCTACATCTAATGGCCAGAACTCTGCAGTTTTCACTCATTTACAGGCCAGCGGTCACTCTTTCAGAGATGAGGATGTTCTCATTCTTGATAGAGAGGAACGTTGGTTTGAGAGAGGAGTAAAAGAAGACATTTTTGTGAAGAAAGACCGTCCATCATTAAACAGAGGTGGAGGCCTCCGTTTTCAGTTGTCCCCCTCCTACAGRGCTGCTATTGCCAGTATCACTCCACCCCCTGTTAACAATAGGTGTTAATTAGATGTCAACGATAGCCATGTGATGTGAGTATCAGCAACATGGAGGCAGGACTTAAAAGCCTGAATCAAGGCTTCATGTAACCTAACATGGCTCCCAGACTGCTCAGCCACTTAAAGACACACAAAGCTGAAGTTTGGTGGGTTGATAGCTGAGAGCTAACTCAACACATTCTGAATGCTAAACAAAAGTTTATGCTAACAGCTAATTCAGCCATTTTAAGACTTACAGAGCTGAGGTATAGCCAAAAACAAGCTTTGACAAGTTCTGAATGCTACATTAAAATTCAAGATGGCCATCAGAGATCATTTCAAACCGCAGCAACTCGGCCATTTTAAACTAATTTAAGCTAAAATTTGGTGTGGTGGTAGCTAAGAACAGTCTTCGTCACATACTGAAGATAAATCAAAAATCCAAGATGGCTGCTATAGCTAAAAAGCAATAATGGCCATAACTCAGCCATTTTTAGACATATTTGGCTCAGATTTGGGGTGGTAGTAGATAACAGTGATCTCCAACCAACAGTAACTTCAGATATTTAATTAAATTGGACAGCACGTGGCAAACCCTTTCTCCAAGAGCTTTTAAAAATGTACTCAGAACAAATATTTGACAGATTTGTTGTCATTCTGAGCAGAACATCTCATATTTTTAACTTCTTTTTTTTAGTTTTGCTCTTTTATTTGTTTCTGCTGCAGCTTTGTGTTTCCTCTCCTGCTGTATCCTCTTCATCATCTTCCTCGCTGTCTTTTCATTTCCTCCCCTCACTCGTGTGTTTTCCACGGCTCTGCCTCTCATTGAGCGCCGGCTGCAAGGCCGTGTCTCCAAACGGAGACGTATGAGTTGTGTTTTGGAGGAGAACTGGTATCTGATGGCAGAACATATTACAGCTGATTGTGTTGTGTGTGTTCGGATCAGTGATGACAGACTCACACTCGTCTTTTTTCTCTATCTCATTCCTTTGTCTTCCATCTCGCCCAGCTCATTTCCTCTCCTCTCCTGTGCCCATCATCCTTCCACTTGTTCACTTCATCCCCATTAAAACAGGTTCATCCAAACTGTCTGTAAACATGCTGAGTTTGAAGCTGCTTCTCTTCAGACATAAAAAAGCTCTGAAGCTGAGAAAACAGTTTTAGTGAAAACACATCCTCTGCTTTCACACAGTCATTGTCTGAGCAGCAGAAACCCGACAGAGGAGCGACTAACTGCATGTCAGCTCGCTGCTTTTAAGATCCAAACATCCTGGAGATGTGGTGAAGATTCCCGACACAAACAGCAGCTGAGTTTCTCTCCTGTGCACGGTCCTGTGGTAACGAAACACAGACCAGGTGTGGTGATTGGTGTTTTCTGTGCTCTGTTACCTGGCTGGATCCTGCTGCTAATCACCTCACCTGTGGACAATGGTCCTGAGGAGCACCTGGGCTTTAAAAGTCTCTTTCTGTGTTCTGATCTTCACTGATGCATCACACTGTGTTGGTTGTGTTCTGAAGCCTTCTGGTATGCTCTTTAAGGTTTTTTAAAGTTACCTTGTCTTCGAACCTGTCTCCTCCCAGCTCCAACCATGGACTGCTCCTGGAGGTTTTCCACACCACAGAAGGATCTGCACCAAGGAACCAAACTGTTTCACTTAGTGATGGTGAGATGAAGCTTTCATCCAACTGGTCCACATGAGTCAAAGCACGTCTTGCTTCATTTGCTCCACTGCGCCATCAAGTGGACAACAAGTCTGAACTGTTATTATTATTATTATTATTAGGAGGCCGGGAGAACTTTCCTCTTTCTTGCTGGTTCCGTCAGACAAAAAGTCAATCAGCTGAATAACTTAAATGCACACAACACATTTTCATGACAACATAATGTTACAGGAGATTCAGCAGCGTTTCTGCCTCTTTTGAATCTCGTGCAGGTGAGCCAGTTCCTGAATCAGTCCTGTGGTACGACCCACCAGTCAGGTTTCTAACGTCTCTATGAGCGTCACCAACACAAGCCTCGACACACGCTCCACAAAAATCCTCCTGTATGACCCGGCACACGCTCCGAAGCCTCGACACAGAAGAACACATCACTACTTAAAGGTCACCTCGCAGCCACTACTCACCTGTTGGATCTTAATTCTCCCGGGCCATGAACCATCACAGAAACCTGTAAGAAAAAGAGATAATTATCTCTGTTAACAAGACTAAAACCATTATTGAACCTGCTGGACTCAGCTGGACTCCTCCTCTCTTTTCAGATCAGATGACCACACCTGTAAATAAACTTACCTTTACCTTGTGTTTGGTCACTCAGTTCTCACGCAGGTCCATCCGTCACCTCTCTGTTCTTAATGTTTGCATTTCCTGAGTTATAAAATCATTCAGACAAACATGTTAAATGACTGAAACACTGACTGGATTTAAACCATGTTCATGTTCTTCATGAAAAGGGTCAAACATTCAACTCCACAGGGTTTTAAACGTGCTTTATTCTCACTAACAGACTCAGATTGTTATAACTCCTTCATTTTTCTCCTGATTTGTTTTCCTTTGACCTTCTTCTGATGGATCCTCCTCTCCCTGCCTGAACATCTGCATCCTCTCCTTCAGCTGCTCAGTATTTATATCAGCATATTAGTGTAATTGGTGCATTTTTCAAGAGGCTCTGAGAGGAAAGCAGTTGTGTTGCAGACAGGCGTGCTGCAGCGTTTGGGTAATAACAGGTGGGAGGAAGCAGCTGGGCTTTAACACGGCACTGAATCCTGCTCAGGAGTTTGTGGAGGGAAATAAAAGTGTGTGTCAGGGTTTAAATGAGCCAATTTATCAGAAAGAACAATAGAGCTGCACACGTTCTTCTTCTTATGAGCTTTGTCTGCGTTTGTGACGTGAGAAGTGTTGATTTCATGGAGCCTCTCATTACAGGAAGTCATCAGCAGGAAACTCTTTAATAAAACGCTGCTGTCAGCTTTAATAACACTCTGACAGAGAGGGAGTCAAATCTGACATTTTAATCAGGTTTCTCCATGAATACCACAGGATACTCTGTGCTGTCATGACCTTTGACCTCTAACCTGCTGACCTAGAGACAATGGCTTACTTTCATTCAAATTTTATTTAAACTTAAAAGTAATAAAGCAGAATATTACAGGAAGGTTGTCAGTGTGACAGCTCCTCCTGACAGGACTGCTGCATGATGGGAGACGTAGTTTTGTTTTTATCTCTGACCTAATATGGTCAAAGGTTTTCTCTTGATAGTTCCTCCAACCTGGACCAACTCCTACTGGTTTTCCCAGGTGGTAAAACATCCAACTACTGACCACGCCCACATGGAGCTAAACTGGGAAATAAGTTTTGTTCAAAATAAAAAGTTTGGAAACTGAAGATAAAAAAAGTCATAATTTCAAACATGAAATAGTTTCGAAACAAAACAAAATTGAAAGTGAAAAGACAAGATGTTTGAAACTTTTTCAGTTTCTAATATATATTTTTGAGTTTCAAACCTTTTTTCAGTTGTTGGAGCCTGTTAATTATTTAAATGACTGTTTTGTTATATGTAAATTAAGTCAGTTATTGTTGTAAAACAAGCCTAAAGATGAAACATGATTTTTTTCCTTTTACTCTGACATTTTTTGAGAAGAAGAAAGCAACAGTAGCTGAAACATCAGTTTCAAATCTCTTTTTGTCAGTTTTAAAAAAAAATATATTTTGAACGCCCGCATTCCGTTTTCAGTTTTGTTTCACTTTAAAAAGTCATGCAGGCTTACTCCATCAACACATGAAAGCAGCAGTCCCTCAAAATGGACGCTTAGGCCCTCCTCTTTTGATTGACACCTCATTTGACCAACCAGGTTCATCTGCTGGCTCTCCAGAGCCAATAATCTGTGAGAAGTTCTTCAAATTCTGGTTTCCGCGCCCTGGGCTGGATTGACTGTAGAATTGACCAATCAGCTCCGAGCTTTATTCTGACGCCTCAGCTGTGTAGCCAATCACCTTTCATCTGGTGGACAGTTTGAGGGGTGGGAACTTTGTGAAGCCAATCACAAACCAAAGACCACCAAAGTTTGAGACAGTGGTCATTTGTACCTACGCTCACAGAAAATGTTTTTATATCATTTTTTGGACAGTTATCTGACTAAACCTGCTGCTGAAATGGAAATATATTTGTTATTAAGTGTTTCGAGTGCTTGAAGACATGGAAGAGTGATTTTTGTAACCAGGAGAAGTAAAAATGTTTGGATAATACCACTTCCGGTCGCCATTTTGAATCGCTAATTTCGTCATATTTGAGGACAAATATGCATCAAAAGTAAGTGAAAAACAAATATTTTTCTGCTGCTGGTTTTATAAGCTGTGTGGAATGTTAATGCTCTGAAAGAAATAAGGATATATTTGTTTATTGTCATGTTTTGGCTGTTTGTTGGTGGAGATTGGCTGAATGTACTCCAGTTGGTCTAAATATTTCTGAATATTTAATTATTTTGGTAATTTAATCATGCTGTGAGTAAATCTGGATGGTATGTTGTGTTTTGTGGGGTTTTTATCTTTAATTTGAGCCCAGAAGTCTCTGTGTTGGAGCATTTATAAATTAGTGTTTGGACAAACTGTACAGTTTGGACATGCTGTACATGTGTACAAATATACAAATGAGACATGCTGGATTGTACTATGTCTCAAATATGCATATTTTATGCTACTGTTATCAATTTTGACCTCGTAATAGTTGGGAATCTATATTTTAGCCCAATATTTTTTTTCTAATATCTCCTTCCTTCCTTCCTTCCTTCCTTCCTTCCTTCCTTCCTTCCTTCCTTCCATTCTGTTCTTTGATNGACAGAGTTAGACAGGGACAGAGTTAGACAGGGACAGAGTTAGACAGAGACAGAGTTGGACAGAGTAAATCTGGATGGTATATTGTGTTTTGTGGGGTTTTATCTTTAATTTGAGCCCAGAAGTCTCTGTGTTGAAGCATGTAGAAATTACAGTGTTTTAGACAAAGTGTACTGTTTTGACGTATTGTACATGTGTACAAATATGCAAATGAGATATGCTGGATTGTACTATGTCTCAAATATTCATATTTTATGCTACTGTTATCAATTTTGAACTGGTAATAGTTGAGAATCTATATTTTAGCCCAATATATATATTTTCTCTAATATCTCCTTCCTTCCTTCCTTCCTTTCTTCCTTCCTTCCTTCCTTCCTTCCTTCCTTCCTTCCTTCCTTCCTTCCTTCCTTCTATTCTGTTCTTTGATACTTTATTAATAAAAATACAAATTTAGGGAGAATACTATCTTGATTTTTGTGTATTTTAACTTTAATAACTAATTACTAGTCACAATTACAAAAAATGACTGCTAAAGCTAAAAATTCAGATTATTAGCTTTAAAAGGGTCAATATTATGTGTTTCTCAGGCATATATTTAAATACTATACCATAATAAAGTATCTATGTTACCTTTAGCTGTTATTAAAATGCTGTTTTTATGTTTAAATAGAAAATAAACTTATCTTCATCACTTCCTCTTCTAAACACCTTGAAATTGGCCTCTGTCTCTTTAAGAACCACCTTCTGCTTCTGTCCCGTCTGTTTTGGTGCGGGGGGAGGGGTGAGCGTGTGCTATGATGCAGTTTACTTGTCATCTGAAAATACATTTCCTCAAAGGTATTTTTAATCTGAAAAGATCTTCACTGAGTGAGAAGTAATGTTGGGAGCTCTGCAGACAGTTAGGTTTCACTTTCAGTTTCACCTGAGAGCCTGCAGGAGTCATGGGCGGGGTGTGTGTGGTGGGGGGAGGGGGTGCGCTCTGCCATGAGGAATTTCAGCTTAAAGACACGTCCCAGAGGTGTTTCTGGTCCCTAAAGGTGTTTCTGGTCCCTAAAGGTGTTTCTGGTCCCACCTGTCGTTTTGCTCCTCAGCATGGCTTCATAAAAACACTGCAGGATTTCTCAAACATGATGAATGAGTCAGAGCAAGGCTTTGGACATGTTGTTTATGACAGGATAACATTATAAGATGATATAAAACTCAAAAAAGTTGATTTTACATGATATTGCACATTTAAAAAGAGACCAAGCTTGTGAATTTCCTCTAAAAGGTTCAAGAGCAGTACTTCATTTAATGTGTGTACTTTTTAAGGTGTTTTATGGTATTTTAGGCCCACAGGTTAACAGGTTATCTCTATTGACCCAACCCTGGTCAGCTCCAGGGATCAGATCTGGTGTGGTCAGGGTGGTCAGGGTGGTCAGGGTGGGCTGCCAGCAGTTGTACTTTTATTAGATCATAAAAACTCCTCAGACTGAACTCCAAACACAGAAACAACAAACTGATCTGATCCTGAACGAGACCGCAGGAAGCAGCCAATCTACGGGTATTAAAAACATGTTGGGACTTTTTAAAACCCTGCTTTATCTGACACACACACACACACACACACACAGACACACACACACACACAC